ATGAAAGGACGTTTTGCCAACATTGAAGAGATAAAGACAGAATCGCTAAAGGAGCTAAACGCCAATCAAAAATTACGTTCCAGAAGTGCTTCAAAGATTGGAAAAAGCGCTGGCATAAATGTATTATATCTCATGGGGAATACTTTGAAAGGGACAAAATTAATATCGATGAATAAATAAAGATTTTTTTGAGAAAAACAAAAATTCCACATATTTTTTTATACATTGTTTATGCTGTCGTTTCCGACTCTTGCGTTGAAGTCGCAAATATAACTAAGAATTTATCTTTTTCTGTGGAGATATATTTTCAATAAGTTGAAGTAGTTGGCGTTCGTAGAAGGTATATCTTTCTGCCTTGGTCTTGTTCACTTATGGGATGTATATGCTTATTATATACATTCTGTTCTCTGTTTTTAGTGTAGTACACAGTATGTGTTTACATATTGTATGTCTTCAATATTTTGTTTTTTGTGATTCAGGAGACCGATTTCACATTGTGCTGTCTCATGTTTCTATTTACCGCTTTATATTAATATGTAATTGTTGTATTTGAAAGACCCGCATCCCTTCTTATTTGTCTCCGATATCACATATATGTCGATTTTATGTCTGTTGAGTTCCATTAATATCTCCTGATCCGATTTTATGTTCTAGCACATCACACGTAGTAAGTCCTTTTTCTATAGTTGTCTTTTCTTGTCGAGTAGTTTTCAGAGATCCGTCCTATATTCAGAATATTTCTGATGTTTCTGTGAATATATTGGTGTTTTACCCCAGACAAATTACTAGCCTTGTCTATGAACCCTCCTCCTTTATCCGAGCTTGGGACCGGCAACATGGTGTTGTCTCCACACGTGTAGGTGGAGTTGATATCACTCAATATCTGATAATGTATATTTTTCTGAAAAGTTATATGTTCTGCGACCGCTGCCCTGAATTTGTCGGTTGCCGGTTTTACGAGCGGCGACCGTGCGGCCCAAGTCCGCCACGCGTCCGTGTTTCCTGGCCCGAAAAAACACACAGGCACACGACGGCAACTCTATAATTCACCAATCAGCTAGACTTAGAACTAGTTGGCCGCCAGGCACACGCTACGTGCCACGAAAATCCGAAATTTTATTCTTCTACGCACCAAAACGCGGCACGCAGAATACACGGCTGCTCAAGAAATTACTAGGTAGAGGGGGTGGTTCGACAGGGTGCTTATTGAGGGGGGGGGGAGAGGTCGACAAGTAATTAAAATCGATATTTAAGAATTAGTAACATTTTATTTCCAACCCGACTTCGAATTCGCAATACAAACTTGACCTCGTTGATCACGCGGTACACGGCTGACCACGGAAGGTCGCGCAACATATGCAGAAATGATCGGCAATTCCGGAAAACGGAAAATTCTCGATGCTGCTACTCGCAGTAGCGCGACATCTGGAAAGCTCGCGAATAAAATGTTACTAATTGTTAAATATCGATTTTAATTACTTGTCAACCTCTCTTCTATCTCACTTTCCTACACAAAATTTATTACAACGAGCTCTTGAGAGTCTCAGCGGAACTGGCAGCAAAATATATGATACTTAACATGCAAATAATTAGTGCAAATAAGGCGGTAGTAAATTCGCGGTAACCCGCAGCCGAATAACAGCAAGCGAGAATATGCGGCAGGCCAAGCTCGCTACAATCGCTACAACGACTCGACGTTCAAACGCGATGTAGCTTTATTACGCGATATATGCAGAAAGCAGCCGCCACCCCGCTTGTCTGAAAATAATTACGGTCGCCGCGTGCGATCGCGATAACGGGCCCGCTGGTCAAATGACAATTGTCCGCTTTCCTCCCTCCATCGGAGGATGCGGATCCGAGTCGACTCCCCCGCAGTCGGGGCCTACGCTCCTTGTGACCAGCAACTACAAAGCGCTACGTCACAGTTCTTGCATATTTAAACTGTCATTTGTCAAAATGTGTTCAGTAAGTTTTGGCGGCATTGTAATCATGGAAAAACAAGCATTTTCGGTGTTTGATGCTTCTCTATTTTCGCAAAAGGAAAAATGCGACACAAACCAAAAAGAAAGAATATATGCTATATATGGAGAAGACGCCGTGAGCAAACGTGTGTGCAATTACTAAAACTGGTTTGCTAAATTTTATGCTGATGATACGACATATGAAGATAATGAGCGCTCAGGCCGATGACAACCAAATTAAGACATTAATTGGAAATAATCAATTTTCAATACGACACGAGAAATCACAGAGATAATTAACATATATAAAAAATCTGTTATGTATCATTTGCATGCGTTTGGCTATGTGTCTCAATATTTGGATACTAATTTGAAAAAAATTTAAAAGATCGCGTGTCCATCTGAGATTTATTGCTCAAACGCAATAAAAACGTTCCATTCTCAAACCGAATGATGAAAAGAAGTGAATTGTGTATAATATACATCGCGAAAAATTGTGAGGAAAATGAGATGAATCGCTGCAAACTTCACCGAAGCAAAATATCCACACGAAAAAGAACATGCTATGTATTTAATAGAATTGGAAAGGAATCGTATACAATGAGTTACTTCCGCAAAAACCAAACGATTAATTTCAACAAATATTGTTCTTAATTGAACTGTTTAAAGGCAGCAATCAACGAGAAGCATTCAGAATTGTACAATTTGTATAGTGATCATATTTCACCAAGCAACGCTCACATAAAGATCTCACGTATTTTTGGCATCTCGGCAAAAATTACTGCAGTTTGGTTAGGATGTTTTGTCTCATTCATATTCTGATTTGGCATCATCAGATTTTTACTTATTCAGATCTCTGCAGAATATCTCTTTACTTATTCAGATTTCTGCAGATCTCTCAATGGAAAAAAATTTCAATTCTTTAGATGCTTGCAGAAAGTACCTTGAGGAATTTTTCGTTCAGAACGAAAGTTTTAAGAGGATGGAATTTTTAAATTGCCTAAAGGAAAGGTTATCGAACAAAATGACATATATTGTTCAATAAAATTATTTTTTAATACGAAAATTCTATTTTTTAATTTTTAATCTAAAAATACGAAATTACTTTTAACTCAATATACATAAAACATTTTTAATCTTATATTGCATAACATTTGTTATAATTTTTTTGTCTACATAAATATTGTTGCACTCGTGACGACGTTTCCTTGCTCAGTCAACACATGTTACATGTCATTCGCACTCATTCGCGAAATAAGCGATTCCATTTAAAAAGAAATAAATTCTTTAATTATTACATTAGTAAAACAAAGCTTGATTAAAATCTTTCGTACTCGTTTACAGCTTGTGAAACTTTACTCGTAATTATCCATCAAGTATTATGCGTTGGTAGAGAGCAATTTTCACTTTTCTATACATGGGAGATGATGATGAATTTTCGCTCAGTCATAAACACTGTCCTCCCCCTCTTGTTCCGACAATTCCTAAGGATTTCTTCTACAGAAAAGGCTTCTCTCTCTTCTCTCTGAATGAAGACTTCATCTAATAGCTTCCTGTTTTGTCCTAAGTTGTTGCTAGTTGTTGCTTACAAATTATGCGTTATGATTTCTTGATCCCAATCTTGCATCTTTCAAGAAATAGTAGCCGCTGCAGAGATTCGTTCCTTTTTTTCCTTTGTTCTTCATCTTAAATCTTATATTATCTATGTATTTTTCATCTTGAGTTGCTGTTTGATTTTCTTCAATCTTCAAATAAAGAAGGGAACAGTAACTTCCATGGACTTAAGTGTTTAATAAAGTTCTCCCTGCTTTGGCATTCCTTCGAGAAAATAAAAAATCAATGATCTTAAAAGTAAATACTTCCTTTGCAATCTAATGTTCAAGGCTTGATAAAAGATCTCTTTTCTTATTCCATTTCCACGTAGATAAGCTCAAAACTAACAATACAACGAAGTATTTTCTTCAAATTTAGAACATTCGAATTTATAGTTTCCCTCCTTCGAATGGAAAGGATATACCAATCCCTTTACAGATTTTAATAGAAATCATGACTTCAAGATTGCCTTAGATATTTCTATATTCTTGAAATGGATAATCCAATTATTCGCGTTATTAAATTAAATTGAATCAAGAATTCTTGCAACGGGATACTTTCATTATACATATCGGACTTAAAGTTATTCGCATGAATGTTAAAATTTAAAATTGACTGATCTGACATTGAGCGAAGCTTTTCCTGCCACTGTTCAGGCTCAAAGGCCTGATGAGGGAGATTCTGCTTATCATTACTGCATTGCAAGCACTTCTCATAAAGAACGGAGTATCTTCTAAGGGTAAACCATTTTCAAATTTAATATTTCCTTTATCGTGTGCGTGCAAGCCCTCGTAGCTACATGTTCATTCCGATGTATTATTCATCCTAGATGAGCCCTAAAAATATTACGCTTGCGACGACAATCCTTCGCTCGATGGATATTCACATGTCATAGTCACTCGTGCTCACTTGCGAAATAAGAGAGACTTCATTTCAAAAGAAAACAAATTCTTTAATATATAGAACAATTATAAAACTCAATAGAAATATTTTCCATTCGTTAATAGCTTTATTCGTAGTTATCCATCAAACACGATGCATTGGCAGGAAGCAATTTATTTCTCTTTATTTCTCCATACACGAGGGACGACGAGTGAATCTACGCTCAATCATAACAGCATAAACGAATAGATGAAGAATTTTTTTAACATTAATAAAATTGTAATTGAATGTAAATAATATTTTTATTTTAAACATTTTGAAAGTTACTGTTTTCTTAGAAAAAAAAGAAATTGAATACAGCTTAACGGTAGTCATTTGTCGCATAATTTTTTTGTCTAATTTCATGCTATAGAATAAATACTATATCTAGGTATATAGATCATTTTTAACGTATAAATAATTTTGATGCACTTTCTAAATTTGAACATTATTAGTGAATCTGAACACTATTAGTATCGATCTAAATGAATCTTAATTATATTAAGAATGCAATTAATTTTTTAGATATAACGCAAAATGGAGAGAATATCAATGAATATGAATCAGCAGTACCAAAACTTTCTGGAAGAAATTTGGATGTTACTAGGCGGGCCAAGAAAGTGATACCTGTCGACTTTGACTTTAAGGTCTGTTTTTACATTTTTTTATTATAGCATGTAAATATATACAAATTAATCCATCTTTATGTATCTCATTTATGATTGAAATAGTCAATACAAATTGTTTTTATCAAATTTTTATCAAAATTTTTTATTTTTTACGAATTCTAAAATTCCAAAAATTACTATTATTAATTGAAAATAATGAATTGACACATCATATATTACATCACTATTTTCTTTAAAACTGTTTTGTAATAATAATTCTATATTAATATGATGACTGTCAAGGACTTTTATTTTTACGATCACTCATTATATTAAATTAATTTGAATTTAAAACCTAAAATCATATTCAAATTGAACAATCACAATAATTTTTCAGTTTATATTAATTTAATTTTTATATGTACTAATTTAGGTATATTTAGAAAATTCATGTATGTATGTATAGTTTTTTATTCCTAGTATATTTCTTTGTCACGTTTCTTTTTAAAAATTGTGATATGGTACTTTTTGGCCCTCACAAGAAGCATACATCTCGACTACATGATCAATTTGGGTTTTACTTAAAAGGAAAGCGTAGATGAAACCATATTGATTAGTGTGCAGCCTTGTTTATTTGCAATCGCGTTTTTATTTTTGTTACCGGAAAATAGATCACGGGCGATGTTGGCGATTACTTAACACTTGTATGTTAGCGAGTATTCCCAATCGGCGTGAAAGAAGAATATCAACATGAAGAAAGGATGCCGAAGAGCGGAGAAAAAGAA